CCCACTGCCATGTCTCTGGCATCTGCTTGGATCATGAAGGGTTGCTCGGGGTCAGGATGCTTCAGCACCGGTTCCTTTGCAAACATTTCTTTTAGTATCTCAAATGCCTTTTGGCAGGTTAGGTCCCACTTTAGTGGTTGTCCCAGGAGAGGTTTTGTTCCTGGGCTCCCTGTCTTTAAGAGGTCTGTCATGGGTTTGGCAATCTTCACAAAGGAGGGGATGAATTGCCTGTAGAAGTTTGCGAACCCTAGGAAGCTTTGTAGCTGTCTGAAAGTGCAAGAGGGTTGCCAGCCTAGGAGGGCTTGTACTTTGGCTGGATCCATCTCTATTCCCTCATTTGACACTCAGCAGCCCAGGTGGTCTAGTCGTGCATGGTGGAATTCAAATTTTGATAGCTTGACGTACAGGTTGGCTGCCAGAATTTTTTCCAGTACCTGTCGGACCAGGGGTATGTGGTCATTCATAGTCTCTGTGTAGATGAGGATGTCATTAAGGTAGACGAGGACCCCCTTGTAGAGGTTCTTGTGCAGCACCTCGTTTATTAACTGATTAAACACTGCTGGGGCTCCCTGTAGTCTGAAAGGCATCACCTTGAATTGGAAGCTCCCTAGGGGGCAGTTGAACACTGTTTTCCACTCATCTCCTTCCCTGATCCATATTTGGTAGTATGCCTCTCGGAGGTCTAGTTTGGTGAAGACTTTTCCCTTGGCCAGGTGAGATAGCATTTCCTTCATGAGGGGGAGGGGGTATAGGTTGTGTATGCACATGGCATTGATTCCTCTAAAGTCCACACACAGTCTCATAGTTCCATCTTTTTTTTCTTTGAAGAGGTCTGGCGCCATGACCTATGGCTTGGCTGGCTCAATGAACCCCCTTGCTAGGTTTTTGTCTATGTATTTGCGCATTTCTTGCATTTCCTGGGGCATCATGGCATACAGTTTGGGTTTGGGTAGTTTTGCCCTGGGGATGATTTCGAGGGCACAATCTGCCTCACGATGAGGGGGGGGGGGGCAGAATTTTGCACTCAGTCTCTCTGAATACTTCTGTGAGGTCCTGATATTCCCCTGGGATCTGTTCGGTCTCTGGGGTTTCATCAGATGTAGCTCCCAGATGTTCTGGTGAGCTCTTTTGGGGGGTTCCCTGCTTGGGTGGTGTTTCTGCTTGCTGGCGTGAAAGGGGTTGGAGACCCTTTTCTATCCTAAGTCTGCGGGTACCCCCTTGCCACCAGATGGTTGGTCCCCACTTGTCTAGCCAGGAGAGTCCCAGTATGAATGCATCTGTCATTTTGGGGGATATTATGAATCAAATTACTTCCCAGTGATTCACTAGCTCTAGTCTCACTAGTCTCTAGATTCACTAGCTCTAGTCAGGTGGGTGGCATAGGCTCCCCCCATTAGGGACCCGTCAACCTGTTTGAACCGGATTGGGTGGGCCAGTCTTTTTGCTCTGATCCCCAGTTTCAGTACTGTGGTCAGGTTGATCAAGTATCTAGTGCAGCCTGAGTCTATTAGGGCTTGAAAATCCCCCTGGCTTATTGGAAAAAGGAAAGGGTGAATTGGTCCTCTCACCATTGGGTCGTTTTTGCCCTCGTCATCACTGTCATAGGATTCTGGTGACTGGTCGCTGTTGCCTGGGGTCCCCCCCTTCATCTGGGTGGGGAGGGACCTCTGCAGCCTGGAGGGCCTTGTGGGATGCATGGATGGCCCATTTTTTTAAAATTATTTTATTTTTTTGTTACATAAACAACACATACCCACAACAGTGGAGAAAAAACAAAAAAACAAAAAAGAACAAGAAACAAAACAGAGAAAAAAAACCATCATCACATATAGCATGTCATTTGGTTACAGGCATTTTAACATTTATCATTCTT